CAGGGGGCGACCACCGCCTGCCGCCGCTGTTCCCAGCAAAGCCGGCTCGGGGGTTGGAGGTTGTTTATGATGTTCCTCTTTTCCCTTCAATCCTCACTCCGCTCCCTTGGAATGTAAGCAGGCCCGATGGTTCAACCGTTCGATGTCCTACTTATGAGGAACGGCTGACGGAACTCGGGGGTTTAGTCTGGAGAAGGCTCGGGGGGGACCTTATCACTCTCTACAAGTGCCTGAAAGGAGGATGGAGCGAGGTGGGGCTGGTCTCTTCTCCCAAGTGACAGGACAAGAGGAAACAGCCTCAAGCTGCACCAGAAGAGGTTTAGATTGGATATTAGGAACAATTTCTTCACAGAGAGGATGATCAGGCATTGGAACAGGCTGCCCAGGTAATGGTGGAATCACCACCCCTGAAATGTAGACCAGGCTCTCAGTGACATGGTTTGGTGGTGGTCTTGTCACCGCTGGGGTAATGGTTGGACTTGATGATCTTAAAGGTCTTTTCCAATCTAGCTGTTTCTATGATTCTCTTTTTATCTAGAACGTTCTACCTCTTACCATCACTCTCCTCTTTGAGACACCCTCCAGCTCAGCCTTGCCTTTCTCAAGGGGCTCCAAACAGGACAGACTGCCCTTGGCATCACCAAGCAGAGCGGAGGGCACACACTGGGTGTTTTTAGGATAGCGTGGTGTCCGTACATCTCAGAAAGCCCTTTCCTGTGGTAATTTAATTTCTCTGCAGCTTTACTTGCACTACCAAGTTATGTCAAATAAGACAGTATAGACTCAATCACTTTACCTTTAGGCCACCAGAAACCCTTCTTCCTGTTACAGGTTACTTCACTTGAGACAGCAGTCGATACGCAACTGGGAGAAGTCCCTGCACAGCACAAGATTTATCTCCACCACGTTTGCCAGCACAGCTATTTGGGCAAAGTTCTTTCAAATGTGATCAAGTCCATACTGCCTTGGTATAATGATTTCTTCTAAGGTGGGAGCTGAAAACAAAGATAAATATTAACGAACTGGCTGAATCAATACCTCATCAATCAGGTGGACAGTTTTAATTGAAATCTGTTATTCTCACAGCAAGTTCTTGATGATCTACTACTAACGTAAAACAACACAGGCAACATAGACTTATGTCTGTGAGACCTCTACTGCTTTACTGCAAAGCTTAGGACCAACAGTAAAGAGCAGCACTAGGACTGGCTGTGCTCTGGAAGCATTTATCAGGGAATTAGGAAGTGCTTCTGTTTGATGCAGCTGTTGAGCCAAACAGAAAAGCTCAACCTCCAGCCTGCCAAGGGATCCTTGCCATTGTGCCTACCCCCAGACACATTATTATTTATGAGTAACTATTATTTAGTGAAATAATTTCAATAGCTTGCCATAAAAAGTTATTAAAAGTGTAACTAGCAATTCTGCATTTAATCTTTGAGATCAAAGGTAGCCCAGCCACCCTGCTTACAGCCTCCTACTTCCCTCATCATGCAGCTACTACCCTTCAGAGCGCACTGCATGCTTGCTGTCAACACGTTATATTGAATCTTCTAGATGGAAGGGCTTGCATGCTCACCTGTTTTGTTGAACATAGGCAGCCTACTAACACTGATTGCCTACTTCTGTGAATTTGGCCTCACGAACTGCCAAGGATGTGATGATGCCCATTCTCCTGAAATCATGCTTTCTCAAACTTTTGAATGAAGACTGTAACAGTTTACGGGCCTTGCAATCCAGCATTCCAAGCTATGCAAAAGCAGCAGCCACTTTGGAGAGACGACGTAGGTCCTTCCTGCACATTATTTCTGTTCTACATGTTTTGGGCATTGAAAAAGTCTCGCCAAGGCATCGCTGGCAGCATCTGACATAGCATTCATTCTCTGCATAAACCACGTATTTCACATGTCACGAGTATCATGTTGGGCTTCTGAGCCTGGAGGTCAACACCGCTGCCTTGAGCGGATCCAAATCCCGTTTTCCAGAGTCTGCCTGAAACTACAACAGATGAAGAGTCCCCCCATATTCCTTTATGAAAGCTGAGAACTAGCACAGGGCTGCACCACATCTGGTGCTTCACCCAAGCCCTTTCCTGCAACTCCACTGGAAGCATCCCGGGAAACACAACATTAAGTAAGTAGCAATCAGAAAACAAAAGGTGCAAAGAATACTCCAAATGTTTATTATGTATTAAAAATACCGCAAATAAGCCATACAGTTCATTTCACAGTAACCTAAACAACATTGTTCAAGAACTTGAGAAGTCAACAATGAACAGTGCAGTTCCAACAGCGACAAATTACCTTAATGCCACGGTTCCCTCCTTCTCTGCCAGCAATTCTTTCCTGTTTACAGTGGGAACAACTCTGGATATGGAGAACTCCTTTTCACCTGTGCTGTTCCCATAAGCACACCACTTCTGGAAGGTGCTGTTTCTAGGAATTCTTCTAACGTAGTCACAGATCTGGCTAGTGCACGCTGAGGTGAGCATGATGCCCACAACCTATTTCCAAGGTATCTGTGTACAGACTCCGTTACCAAACCTTTGGGTAAAGTTCAAAAGGAAACTTGAAAAAGGAGGGATAGTGGAACTCCTTTCCAGAAAGACAGAAGCCCAAGAAAGCTTGATGAAAAACTGGTTTTAAAATGAACATCTGGAGATTCATGACACTCTCAGCCAGTTCTTAGAAGGATCCTTTGCTACCAGTGCTGCAGGCAGATACCCGGGGACAACAATGGTGTCAATCAGGCACCAAGTCCTGAATACATAACAAGAGTTCAGGTTACTGTCAGCTGTGTGAAAACTTGGAAATGTATATGCCTTAGAGCAATTCTGCTGATTTCACGGTGATCTTCCCCCTTGTGTGCTTTGGAGTGTACTGTTGTAGTTAGCATGCTTGCTATATATGGAACACAAGGTGCACTTTTGGTCCTTCTCTTTCCTTGTTCAAACCTGTGGTAATTTTTACAGAAAACCCTGTATTACAGACAAATTAGGCCTTTCCAGAACAGACACATCCTCATCGTGTCCAAAAATACGACAAAAATATTACTGTACCCTCTTGGAAGTAATCTCACCCTTCAGGTGACCCTTCTAAGCACTGATCTGCACCAGCAGCTGAAGGTGCTCCAAAGAAGCCTGTGATGACAAAGAATAAATCTCTCCAGCCATGTGGTGGAACACCCCTCTTAGGTCTTGGTACCAAACAATGCCACTTATCTCAAAACTTCCTTTGAGGGGGCTCCTTGCTAGCCCCTTGGTACAGACTAAGGACTCACAGAAATACACTACAGCTCAGCTGACACCTGGTAAACTGACCACGTGGCTGAATCCCAAACTGTAGAAACGGGTAAGTTGCTTCAAACCTGGTCCGCGCTTCAGGTTTACTGGTCTGAACAGTTTAACACAGGGATGTAGTTTAGTTCATTTGTTTCTTAAACCAAAACATACCAGTAAAATTCCCAGTGTGTATAGAAGTATGCTCTTCATACCAGAAGTTGTAGTTTTTCTGTATGGGGTATCTAGTGTAATAGTGTGAAACACCTTTGTGCCATTAAAAATGCCCATGCTGGTGAAAACACCTTCGTGCCATTAAATACACCCATGCTAATGAGGCTGTAGTCCTTTAGTTACACCACTGCAGTTACAGCCGTGTAACTTATAGAGAAGATGAGCCCTTAGAATCTCAACCCCCAACTAAACTCTTGTTTTCTGGAAATTTTAAAAAACCAAACACACAAAACAACCAAAAGCACTACACAAAAGAGAAATAAAGGAAATAAGCAGAACTGTCTCTATCATTAAAGTATTCTTATTCTCTTTGGAGGTATCAAATTGCTTTTAAAAAGAGTAAAAAACTGGGCATACAAAAGCTATTCTCCTTAATCCATTACCTGCACAAGGAGCACCACTGCCTAAACTTTTTCATGGATTTTTTCTACTTTCACAAACAACCTTTCCAGGTCATTCCTCAGGTCATCTATTGAGCTCTTCACAGACTCCAAGTTGTTCTCATTATTTTCTATTTTCACTGAGTAGGAGACTAAACTATCCACTGCAGTTCTTATCATTTTCAAATCAGAATCAACCTGGCTGACAAAGGATCTCAGTTCATCGACAGAGCCTTCCACAGAAGAAAACTTTTCAAGATAGCCTTGAGACTGTACTTCGCCCGCCTGGAGATTCCCTTGATCCAGCAAAGTACTGATTTGCTTCTGGACATCCTGAAGAGCACTGGAGGATGGCAGTTCACTGATGCTTCTCCTCAAGTTTTCCATGTCATTGTACAGTGAGGCCTGCGATTCACCAAGATTCTTCAGAACGTCTGTGACCGAAGTTAGGTCTGAGATTCCCTGAAGTGCAGTAATGCTTTGTTCTAGGGTACTGAGCTTACTTTTATATTCTGCCTCCTTAGAAAGAAAGGATCGCATGTTTTCACTGTTTTGAGCAGCAGCAGAAGTTAGAGACTCCAGGCTGTCTTCTATGTGCCTCAATCGAGACTCTAGTCCCTCACTGTTCTTCCCAAAAGCTTCTAATGCTTTTCTGAAGAGTTCATTTTCTTCCCATTTGTTGAGGTTGGCTTTAACTTGCAGCAAATCTTCATCGAGTCTTTTAATGTCACTAGGGAGATGCATAATAGAATCCTCAGCTCTCAGAACTTTCTCCTGTAAAGCTTTTAATGAAAGGTGTTCAGTGTCTGCAGCCTCTTTGAATTTCTCATGTTCTTGTTTGAGGTTGACTAGCTCTTTCACTTCAGTATACACATCGGACTCCATGGAGTCTATTGTACTCTTCAAGGACTCTATGTCCTTTTCTTTGGTTTTCATGGATGCTTGCATCTCATCAAAAGCATCTTTTAGCACCTTAATTTCATGTTTATACACATCTGCCTCTTCTAGTGAATCAACCTTTGCTTTCATGTTGTTGATTTCATCTTGGCTCCTTTGCTGGACTTCAGTGAATACAGCAATGTTATCATTTATAGACTTGGTTAGCTCTGTTAGTCTCTCTTCAACTGTGTTTTCCAGAGATGTGAAGTCTCGTTCCCTTGCATCCTTCACCATGTGGATGCCATCAGACAAGTCTTTCAATATTTCATTTTGCAGCTTCTGAAGCACTTCACTGATGCGGTTTATTTCGCTCTCCCCTTGTTTAACAGCCTTCTCAGTAACCTCCTGCTTCTGCTGAGCTATTTTCATCATGGACTCAAATTCTCCAAACGTGGCTTGAAGGGAACGCACCTGAAACAGAAATACACATGGTTAATACCTACAATTTCATCCTCACCTACGTCCTCACCCTTTGTGTCCTTATGGCCCTTGTTACTATATGAGATGATCATCTTGCAATCCTTCATGCTCTCTACCCAAGGTGACCCTATGGCACCTCGGATAAAGGATGCACGAAAAGCCCATCCTCTGGAGCCTTACAGCTGTATAGAGAAATCCATCTTCTGCTGAGGATCCTTCGCCTCACTGACCTGCCACAGATGATCCAGGAAATGCGTGTGTGAAAATCAAATTTGAGCCTCCAGAGTCTGCATCCAGGCCCCTGAGTCATCCCTCCCCTATAGGATGCCTGGTTCTACAAGCTGCAAGTCCACAAGGGAGGAAAGGGAGGGGGGAACACAAACAAACAAAACCCATCTGGCATCAGCTATTGAATACAGAGAAGCTGGGATTAGAAGTTAGCAGGCAGCAATACCCAAGGCCAATTCCTGAACATGAAAGAAGTTTCACAGCAGACAAGAAAGAATAACAGGAAAAACGAGGGGGAAAGGGGAGGTGGGAATGGCTGGGGAATGGGAGTAGTGACATTTTGCTGCTCCTAGACACCAGTGGAGACACAGATTTTTCTTGTTAGCTATTTTTTAAGATAAAAACCATAGAAAGGCTTTAATGTTCTCAATACTTAGTGCCTCATTATTCACACACTCACACGCTCTTAGTGAATGTATATGTGCACAGGCAGAGAACAAAGCCACAGCAGCTGCCAAGGGGAGTGATTCACATCTATCTCCGGTTATTACAGAGGGATCAGGTATGCTATTACGCTTCCCAATCTAAGAAAACCCTATCTTTACAGTTGGTTTTAGTAGCAGCAGGAGGGAAAAGGTCAAGGGGTGAGTGGCCTCCACGCTGGTTTACTCTCACAGTTAAAGGTAAGATCCAGGCCAGGGAAGCACGCATTAATTCATCTGGGGGCCATGCCAAGTATCAGTCTCAGGCTGTGGAGAAATCTTTTTGTGTGCGTGTGGGGATTGTATTTTCTTCAACTTTGTAAAGCAATGAAAGAACTCCCACTGGCTGCAACAGGAATCCATCACATAGAAAACACCTCAAGGCTTTGGCAGGATGGCAAGTGCTGAGTAATGCATGTTGCCTTGCCTCATGTTACTCCCTGTGTCTGAGGGGTATATTAATCAGTCGTGCCACATGGGCTGCCATGTTTACTGATTAGATACACAGCTGGAGGGTGGTTTTATTTTATAGATAGAAGGAATTTTATTTTATACATTCTTAGAAAGAAATAGACAGAACTTCTATTTCTTTTTAACTGCAGGAGGCTCCAGCACTTCCCACTCAGACTCTGAACCCAGAAATAATTTCTAAAAGATCTAACAGATTTACTCATTAGAAATCAAGTTATTTATATGTATTTTTATATGTATTTTTGCAAGACTAAATCCTTGGCCAAATCCTCCTTGATTTTCATGGAAGTCTACACTATGTAGGGATTGTAGAGTTTGGCCATGAGATTTGCCCTTGCTCCAACAGATCCCTGCAGTTTGAAGAACATCCATATAGATGACTTCTTTTTTATCCTTTCCCTCTGTAAAAAGGTCTGTAATGTCTTTACATTCCCTATGCTTGTATTCTTTAGTGCTCAAATACGAAAGAGAAGCGAGCTAAGGTTGGGGGGGAAGCAGATAATACTGCCATATGCGTTGCGACAGGACACCAGCCATTACACTGACTTACAGACCTCATTTTCATTATGAAAGCCTTAGCTCTCATTCATTCTTTTTCCACACAGAGATCTTTTGCTGTGTCACTACGAATGGACTTCAGAAATCTACAAGAAGAGCACAGCAAAGTTCTTCTCTCCCTCCTATGATAGAATCTGTTTTCTTTGACACATTCAACCAAATCACTGAATTCAGCAATTAACTATCTTCAATTGCAAGTCTAAGAAAAAGCGTCAGAAATGGCCAGGAGAACTCTCCAGAGGGCCAGAAGGTCTCTGCTGCTATATGTTTGACAGAGATGGATCCCACTCCTCCTCAGTGGAAGTACTTTATACCTGCTCCTCCACTGCATTTGGACAATGCTCCTGGTATAACTTCAAGCAATTCTACTATACTTCCTGCTGGGCCAGCCACATGAAGATCAGAGAGTTCTGACATAATAAAGTGAACTGGGGTCTTCAAATTAGACCAGCTTCTAATCTGATCTGTCCCAACCAAGAGCCCCCAGGACCCAAAGCAAACCCCTTGCACATGAGAGAGAAAACTACAGCTTCAGAATAGTAGTTTGTATTCACTACACAGTTGGTTTGCATGTGCACCTATGTCTGAGTTGATGTGTTTGGTGTTCATGGCTGGCAAGGTTTGAGACCATAGCCCTTGAAAGATTTAACACATAAATAGCACATTAAAATATATCTATAGCTAAGACCTATGACTTCTCTAACTGGTCATACTATCTTGTGTTTAAACACCAAACGACCTTGGCCTCTCTGAAACTGTGCTATATTCAAGACCAAACTTCCACATCATTTCCTTTCTCCTCCTACTGATGCATAAAGCAGATGAGTTCACGTAACACCCCTGCCAGGAGCTCTCTGCAGTAAAAAGACTGAAGGGCAAAGCCAGTCCCAGATGGCAGCCTGCACTGATGGCACTCTGCAGGACCCTGCACTTCTGCAAAGCAGCCACATACAGCTTGGTCTCCTCTGCCTCAAGTCCATTCTTCTGTAAAGACACCAAACCAAAGCAAGCAAAGCTTTCAAGGGTTACACTGAAAATCTGTGTAGTCTCTTTCCCCCGCCATGTTTGCCTTACTGTGTGTATGTCTTACATCAGCCACCTGCTATACACAGGCAAATAAAGTTTCAGTTCTCTTTGAAACCAACTATTTATAAACTTTGATTACATGCCTGTCTCCTAGAGTATGTAAGATATACCTATGATTTTCTGCAAGGACATGGAGATGGGAGGCAGCAAAATGTACCCATTCCTATGTTTGGAAGGGCTTATATACTGCAAATACATCTGCATTCCATGTTCATGCATTGTTATCTTGTGTCCTGCATGCCTTGACATTGCAATTCCTTCCTTCCTACAAAGAGTCTGTAAAAATGCCTTAAAACCCAGGAAAAAACAACAGTCCTTGCTAGTTCAAATCATGACCCAGTCATCAGTGAGTAAAACCCCCAGGATTTAAATTTAGCTTCAGAAACAACACTACAACCCTGATTTTTACACCAGTTTTCCTTTTCCCCCTTGTAAGGGAGAAGGAACACCAAGGCTGACCCTACAAACTCCACGTGTGCATGCTGCCTCGCTTCTGGGAGCACCAGAGACCAGTCAGAGGATCTCTGCCAGCGCCTGTCCCATCACACTATCCCCCCACCACCATCCCGGGCCCAAGCTTGCAGGGAATACAGGGAATCCGCACAGCAAGCAGTCAAGCTGAGACAAGAACTTCCTTTTCTTTGATCTGACTCAGTCATAACTTTACATACTGCTTCCCAACCAATTTACCTACTCCCTAGACAGGAGCTTGGTTATATGTTGATGATACGCCTTCGCAGACGCCATCTTTTAAAGAGTTTAGGCACCCTAAAGCACATCCAGATGGACAGTGTTGTTCGTGAAACTCTAGCTCGAGGGCCTTATTAAGGCCTGAGCGAAAAAAAAATCGGGAAACGAGCATTTCTTTCACTACATTTGAGCCACACCCTTTGCCAACAACTTCTCAACTCTTCCGCGGCCCCGGACTGCCATGGAGTGCTGCTCCCTCGACCGGAGGTAGCACCAGGAATGTGGAAGGCAGGGTACTGCAGGAGCAGAGTTTACGGCATGGTCTCTGCTGTTTGGTGAAGCTGGCACAGGGTTTGTTTTCTAGAGGCGGGCTCTTCCCCCATCCCGCCGCGCTGCCACGCCATCCCCTCGGTGCACACACCTGCCCGCTCGACAAAGCGCAGCCCTTCTGCCACGCTCGGGTTTAAATGACCGGCGAGCGCCGCTGATACGGAACCGCGGCCAGCAGGCTCTC